CTTTTTGGTAGGGCTACTGGCACTCCTAATAAAGGAATCTTTGAATTAACTACAGAGAGTTTGTTGTGTCCGGGGAGTTGGGTCAGAACAGGTAGTTTGTAGGGGTGACATCAAAATATAATGTCATCATGTTTTATTTATCTCTATATTAAATTATTGTATTTGATTCCAGTTTCATTTTAAGTGAATGGTCACTTAATGCACTATTGTAAGTCAAGGACTTACCTGTATGGCTTTGTTATTCCTGGCCTCTTTTAAACCAAATCTCATTGTTTCAGAGCTCTTCATTCTTTGCAGCTTGAGAGCTCCTTCTTTTCCCAAGACTTTCGTTTTGCTTTTTAAAAATTCAACAGTAACTGCATCATATAGATCTTATTGCTCAATTATCATTTGTGCCCTTTTTGATATAATTCATATATCTGAATTATTCCAATTTTAATTCTGGGTGTTTTTGTCAGTGTGTGTGTGTGTGTATGTGTGTGTGTGTGTCTGTCTGTGTTTCAAAGATTAATTGTACAAGCTCCAGACAATGCCACTAAAATAAACAAATTTATGCAAATGAGGGTGGAGAGAACTTTACCAGTGAAGATGATAAAAATAAAAAAGATTAATTATCACAAAATCCCTGCTATAAATGATTTAGCATCATCTTTAATCTCCCACTCAATGGATCTACATCGAGGTTATTGTGCTATATAATGAGCATATTGCTAATATCAAGGGCCTGCTTCATGCTTTTACTTAGAACAGCTTTATAGCTTCAGAATTCCATTATGAATCTTCTCAGCAGCTGTAAATTTACAAAGCTCCATCAGCTTCAGTAAAGTTACACTGATTTACCTCCATCCGATCCCAGAAAAATATTCATAATTTAGCATGCGGAGAAGTCTGGATTGCTTCCTTTGTTTATTAAACAGCCCTTTATAAATGTGTGGTTTTAAACATATACACTAAATGGATTGAGCAGCAGATTAGGGTGGCAAATGTACTGAATCTCATGCAGTGAAATAATCATAAGTGCAGTTAGAATGATCATTCTGATATGCTGAATTTACTCTGCAGTATTTCCACGAGCTCATTTGCAAGGCCAGACCCTGAGTAGTGCAGTAGTCTAGAGGTGGAGCTGTCGCCTCACAATCAGGAGGCTGTGAGTTCAATCCTAGGCAGCGGCATATATTTCTCTCTCTAGGCACAAAGAGATAATATCTGCTGCGAACTCTGCATTTGCAACAGGAAGGGCATCCGGTCAGTAAACGCGCAGTTCCATTCAGTTGCCCTGACTCCACCCCAATGCAAGGGATTAAAGAAAAAAAAATTGCAAGGCTACACCTTTAGGAACAATAACAGCAATCTTATAGAATAAGGAAGTTGTACCGCAGGAAGTGGAAACTTCTAAGAGGTCATGACACAGGGAAACCCTGTTGAGAATGTACAGTGGATCAAATGGTGCAGATTTTTTAATGCACTGATATCAGCATACAATAGTTTGGCTTACAAGTCAAGACAGTCTATTCAATAGCATGGAGTTTCATAGCTATTCATGGCTTTTCCATTTTTTTTATGGCTTGTTAGCTTGCTATCGCTGGGTCCTGCTAATTTTAGACATCTTTTAAATCTAAAATGGATTTACAGTCTGTGCTCAAAGCATGATGAAGCAAATTCTCACAGCTGCATCAGTATATGGTTAACTTTACAAGAATCCACCCAAGAAAGAAGGCGGAGCCTCCTCGCTGACGGACCCTAGATCGCAACTCTCTGTGGCTATGGTCCATGCTCTTTTGTTGGAGAGCCCCAATTATTATGATTAGGGGCTGAAGCTGCCTTGGAGGGGTGGCGGAGTAAGGGGAAGCTGCAAACCAGGTTGAGGGGAGCCGCATCTCCCCCTCTGGGATGGTCTTTTTCCCCCCGAAGATGACTGCAGCGATGGTTTAAAGTGGCCACCCTGAAGAGGAGGACTCAGCTGGATTAAGATTTGTGCAGGAGGGAAGAAAGAGGTGGATAACATCTGAACCGGGACAACTGGGCAAATAGTACCCCGGGATTAAGGTAACATGGAATTTTTAAGAAAAGAAAAGTGAGTGGTGAAATTACAAAGGGACAGAGAAAAAAAAAGAAAAATTTTTTGACAGCTAAGCGGGGCTTCGAACTGGGAAAGGAAGAAGCTGGAACTAAAGATTTAACAAAATTGGACTAAAATATTTTGGGAATAAACAGGCATAAAATAAAGCTGGATTTAAGATTGTCAACAAATAATAATAATAAAGTTTACAAATTGGAGACTGGACTGTGCTGGAATATTGAGGTTTGAAAAACCCTAAATAAAAAAAATAGGGGAAAAAGGTGAAGACTTTGTATAATGGAGAGTGTCACCTTTTGACAAAAACTTGAGATCAAACAAAAGGGAAAGCATCCTGTTTCTGAATGAACTTGTGTGGATATAACATTACAGAAATATTGAAACAAAGTAAGAATCTTAGAAATTGAAAGCAGAACCAGAATAAAGAAAAAAGCAAGGAAAGGCTGACTGTGGGATTGATTGATGTTTTTGGTATAGACCCTGAGCTGGAATAACTGAGAACTTTAGAAAATTGAAAGAAGAAAGAAGGAAAGTAAAAGTGGTTTTTTTGTAGACTTTAATGATCATAAAATATAAGAGTGTGTAATGATGATATCTCTTCGGGAATTAAAAATGGAACTTAAAAATATAAGAGAATTACTACAGGAAAGAGGCGAATCACTTTGTTCTGTGTTAGAAAAAATGGAAATGGCGATTGAAGAACAAGAAGAAAGAGCTTCAGAGGAGGAGGAGTCGATTCAAGGAGAAGACATTTTAAATAGACAATTAACACAAAGAACACTACAAAGAAGTGGGGAAAGAAAGAAGGCTAAAAAGTTGAGACTTAAGAAGGCAATCAAAAGAGGGAATACCTGTGAAGTCATGAAAGGCAGAAAGACCCAGCAGAAAAGGGGAAAGGAAGATATTAAGAAAGAGAGGGATATAAACTGGAATGAGAAAAGATATGGGGAAAAGAGGGGGAGGAGAAGCAGTAAGAAACAGGTGCACGAAATAAAGAAATACAGAATTAGTAAAATGTTGAAAAGAAATTGTTTTTTCGGAGATAATGGTTGATGAATTAAAAAGGGGATTCTGCAGGGTGACAAGGGGTAATAAGAATATTTCTGCAATTAAAAATATTTAGAAAATAGGGTAATGTAGATACTGATAACTCTTATTAAAAATCAAGGGGGAAAATATGCTGTGGAATCCAGTTGAAAAGATGTAATGATTATTATTGTAACTTCTTGAAAATAATGGTTTATTGGGAATCAAGATGAGGGAATAAAGGTATATTTTAATCATTGAGGTGTCACACTCAAAACAGTAAAAGGGGGGAAACCTATACTTTTTTTTGTAGTGTTAAAATTTGTATTAATCTAGAATTTATAAAAAGAATGTGTAATGGAAAGGGAATATGACAGACTAAAGAACCAGCTAAATTAATAAGTTAATATAGACTATTAAAAGCAAGGAGAGACATTGGTAACATTATTATTATTATTATTATTATTATTATTATTATTATTATTATTATTATTATTATTATTATTATTAGGCAAACACATATTGTTTATCTTTATTTTTAAAATAAATATTAAAGGATTATATTTGAAATAATTGAAATGAAACAAAAAGATGTTTCGATTGAGATTAATGAAAGAGGCTAGGATTAATTTGCTTGTTTCTCTCCTTTCTGAAAGTTTGGAATGGAAAAGGTAATAATAGAATTAAGTATGCATATATGAATGTATAATTGCTGTCATATTTGTATGTAAAGGTGATGACCCGGAAATATGTTGTCCACTAAAAAGAGATTTTTGTTTTTAATGTGAAAAACTGAATAAAATTTGTTAAAAAAAAAAAAAAAGAATCCACCCAAGCCTCATTCTCATCATATTGATTTTTTTTTCTCCAGGAAAGTGGTCCTAAAATGATACCGATAGCCACAATGGAAACTTTTTGTGCAAATTATTAACTCTAACAATGGACAGAATCAAAAAATCAAAGTGCTTCCCCCCCAGCTGAATGGAACTATTGAATGGTACATTCACATACGTCTGATTTCCCTTTGCAGAGTATTTAAAAAACAAAAATCAATGTTCTAAACTGGAAAGGATCTTGAGGTGAACTATCATAACTATACATCACATGTGAAGAAACTTGTTTCAACTTGAATTTGGACAAAATCACCTGGAGGATATGGAATATTGCTTGTAGAATAAATGGCTCAGAAAAAGGTATAGCCTTAGCTGAGATGGCTACATTCTTGAATACATTCTGATTAGGTATAAGGCACATTGAAAGGAATATAATGAATTTCAAATGCAGTTGTAATTTGTAATAAATAATTGTTCAAAGAAGGAATAAATCCTCACAAAGCCAAAACTGACCTTGGAATGATCAACGTGAGCCTAGCTGGTACAAGATAAAAGAAAGAATCATGGAACTCTCTGGAAACAACTTAGAATATAGACAATATGTCACTATTACTTGGTCTACTGGATGCATGTTTATATGTTGTGAAATCAAACTTCTGGGTCTTACAGACAAATATCATTCAAATATGTGATGGTTGCCTTTTCGCTTGAAAACACTGAACAATTACTGTTTGAATATTCCAGTAATAGTTTTATGGTTGTTATTATTAGGCAATAACTCTGAAGCCAACAAACAAGTCCATTTTAATGAGAATTGGTTCAGTGAATTTGGAGCCCATTAAAAAAAAAGACTTGTGGGAAGAAAAATTAATTAGTACAAACGTGAGTGTAAATTTTCTGGATTTTTGTTTTGTTTTTTTTGTTTTGTCTTTGTTTTCCTTTTACTTTAAAGCATTTTGTTTGAAGTATACAACCATGTGCACAATACAAAGTTTGTACGGTTCTCCTTGGTGACGATAAAAAGTGGTTTTATTGTTATCATTATAATTATTATAAATGGGGGATAAAAATTAAAATGAAAAAGAGAGGTCACAGTTTTGTCATTGGTATGTGAAGGTTGTTCCAAGGGCCCATCCAGAGTTCCTCATCTTCTGACTGTGCGTGATCGCTTGGCAAGTCCAAAGTCTCTTTGATGCCTTCATTATCAACGATGGACTCTTGTTGGTCTGTGCTTTTCAACCTGCTCCCCGCTGCTTTGGTTGCTATGTTGTCAGTGTCTAAAGCAGAGGCAGCAAAGGAAACACTACAGGGTCTGGGGTTCAATTTATCGTTAGATGTTGCTCCTGTGGGAAATGTGTTCAGTGGGATGTTTTCCTCGTGTGTTACTCCTAACTTATCGAGCTTCTTGAATTGTTTTCCCAGTCTGGCAGGAGAGCTGACCTTCAAATTGTTCGAAAGGCAACTTCGACGGGTTCTGATCACTGACCCATTTTGGGCTATGTAGATATTACTGCTGCCATTGGCTGGAATATTGGGGTTGCTGAGACGGTTCCTCTGACTTTCTGGAGCACTGTCTTCTCCAGTGGAGCTGCTTTCATATTCAGGATCGAGAACCAACTTGATCCTTTTCTTTTTGGCCCACTGGAGGACAACAAAAAGAGAGAAAATATTTAAATATCTCCTAGTTTATTTTTAATGCAGAACATGGCTGCTTTTCTGTCTCTATTTTTAAAAAAAAAACGTAAGCATAGAAATAAGATTTATAATAGTCCCTGATTAATGCATCCGTTTACACTGGTTTCTCATGCCATGCTCTTTGAAATGAAAGGTAAGCACATTTAAAACAATAACCTGTAACAGTATTGAGAGAATATATATGAAGCAACAATCTATTTACCCATCTTCTCCACTCTGGTTTGTAGCATGCAGGAAGTTTATTTTTCAATTGCGTGGAAAGTAAGCCACGGTGAAAAATCTGTTGTGCAATTTGGAAAGTAGAGAGTAAAAGATATTCACCCAATCATGATATTTAAGTGACATACTGAAAATGATCTTAAATTAAAATAGAGTACAGAGAAGAACAACCAGGATGATTAGGGGACTGGAGACTCAGGAACATAAAGAATGGTTACAGGAACTGGGCTTGGCTAGTCTAGTGAAGAGAAGGATCAGAGGAGACAGGGTAGCAATCTTCCAATATTTGAGGGGCTGCCACAGAGAGGAAGAGGTCAAGTTATTTTCCATAGAATCCGAAGGCCAGACAAGGAATAATGGATGGAAACTGAACAAGGAGAGATTCAATCTGGAAATAAGGAGAAACTTTCTGACAGTGAGAACAATCAACCAATGGAACAGCTTGCCCTCGGAAGTTGTGGGAGCACCATCACTTGAGACCTTCAAGAAGAGATTGGACTGCCATTTGTCAGAAATGGTGTAGGGTCTCCCACTTGGGTGGGGGGTTGGACTAGATGACCTATAAGGCCCATTCCAACTCTGATTATATGTTAATTAATACCCTTGAGGTTTAGTCTTGAATCTATATTGGCTAAAATATTCTAACTTGTGAAGAAATATAATTGGTACCATCCATGGGTAGAAGAGTAGTATGAATCTATATATCCAAAGCGGTGCTTATAAGTTTGCAAACCTGTTTGAATTTTGAATATTTCTGCAATATTTCAATATGTTTTTGGCTCACTTGTTTAAGTGAGTCTACTTTTAGGATGTGTTTGAGGTCGTATTTATGGATATTTGAACATTCAAAAGGTTCACAAGCATTTCTGTGTCTGTGCCTACATCTTTGTTTCAAACATATGAAACATGATTGGGGAGCAGATGAACTATATTTGTAAGTATCCCCAGACATTTCCTGTACAAGATAAAACAGCTGTAGGTAATTCTGCACATTATTACCCTATGGAGGGATCTCTCAGACAGCATCAATTCAATTCCTGAAAGTAGTTCAAGTGAACCAGTATCTAAATAACTAGAAGAGCTATAGTGATATTGGGTTAGGTATAATCCTAATTTGATGCACATCCCACCATGAACAGATAATAAAGAATAATTAAAAGTTCATACGTGAAAGCCTTATCATGAAATAATGCAACTATCAATATAAAATAAACAAACCTAACAATTATATCGGACTTAACAACAGAGATGGTACTCATGCTAATAATGTTAGTACTTTAAAAATAATTGCTTTCTTTCAGAATAAGTCATTCAAAATACATTTAACAAGAGTTTATGAAGAGTGTTTTATATTTCTTCTTATTGTGGCTCATTGTATCAAATGACAGAATAATTTTTATACTTCAAGGAAATGGAAGGTATGGACATGATTAGAAAAAAGACCACCCACCAAGGATCTTATATGAAGAGTCTCTCATTTAAATTATTTTATCTAAATATGAAATTCAAAACACAAGCAGCTAAAAAAGTGCAATGAGAGTCTATAATATAATTGGCACCAGCCAAGGAAGGAAAAACATCAATCTAATTAAAGATTAATTTCCATGCAAAAGAACAACACTAACTATCAGCTTAAGGAATAAAAAGATAGATTATTTGCAAACAAAGTTAAAAGTGAGAAAAAATGTTTGTACATAGAATTGCTTTTGAAAGATAAGCAGGCACTTTTAAGAAAATACAAACCATGCATTATAGTAATGTACATATGTTTCAGTGCATAACTAATTCACATGGGTTTTCTTGACGATTGCAGTGTCAAGGGAAAACTTGCTTGTGTGAATTAACCATCACTAGAAAAAAGGGTCAGAGCAGTTCACATCACTTCAAGCATCTCTACTCCTGAATAAACAAGTGAAGCAGAAAGCGTTACACAGTGATTTATACTGCATGAAACCCCTTAATATCCTTATTCTAGAATACTTTGTCATAGCACTGAGAGATTTAATATTTAATTCTTTAGGCCTCTTGACCTTTTCCGATTAGAACATGTAGTACTTCTGCAAAAGTATCTATCTTCCATATTTTGTCTATCTTGTTTGTTTTATGAGATTTTCATAGTAACGCTTTCTCATTGGCAAAGAGGAATACAGAGTGCACTGCAAACAAATTTTTTAAAAAATCAATTTCACCGCAAACTTTCTAACTATAGTCTCACTTTTCTTTTAAAAGGATGTTGAATCACTAGGCATGTCTGATTCTGTAGTATCAGGGACATCTGACTCCCCTAAATGCTCTTCAGGGCCTTTTTTCTTTATATTTTCACTTTTCATGCCTTCTTTGGAAACTGTTGTTGACGTTGCTTTCTTGGTAGTGCTTTTCTCCTTTTTGGTAGCATCTTCATCAGTCTCTTCTTCACTGCTCCCTGTTTGTTGGCTGGAGGTAATGTTTTCACTGTTGGACGTGGCTTCATGGTCACTTGATTCCTCCTGCTCCTCCTCCTCTTCTTCCTCCTCTTCTCCCTCTTCCTCTCCCTCTCCTCCTTCTTCCTCTTCTTCTCCCTCTTCTCTTTCTTCCTCCTCTTCTCCTTCTCCCTCTTCCTCTCCTCCTTGTTCCTCTTCTCCTCCTTCTCCCCCTCCTTCTCCTTCTCCCTCTTCTCTTTCTTCCTCCCCCTTTTCTCCCTTTTCTTCCTCCTCTTCTACAGCGGAGGGTGATTCTTCTGTCTCTTCAGATATTTCAGCTATCTCATCATCTAACTCACTTCCAGCTGAAGAATGCTTTTTGAAACTGGACCCAGAAGTCTTGTCCTTCCTTGACCTTGGAGTAACTTCACTGCTGATGGAACTTTGCATCAAGGATGAGATGTTTGATTCTGTATCGTCTTCTACAACTTCAGAAACTTTGCTCTGGGAATTGATTGTTCCATCTTCTGAATCACTGCTTGAGGTGGAGCCAGATGAATCTGAATGTTCTTCATCAGAGTCTACTGTGCTTTCAGTAGCTTCATCTTGGTCTAATGTAACTTTCAAATAATCTTTATCTGATGGAGATGCTGAAGAACTACTTTCTGATGATGTTGAGGATGATGATACGGAGGAGGAAGATGACTTAGTAGATGATGTTGTCAAAGAAGAAGATGTTGTCTTAGAAGATGATGTTGTCTTAGAAGATGATGTTGTCTTAGAAGATGATGTT